GACAATCATTCCTTAATGCATAACCAGAGTGGTTGCAAAAAACGTACTTGATCTCTTTACAAAAAAAGCAGGACATAAATTATAGATTTAGGGAGGTTATATACTGCTATTTTGTGGGTACTTCAATTAGTAAGTGGAACAGGAAACGCTGAACCTAGTTAAGTAACTTGCCCAAGATCACACTGCTAGTAAATGCTAGTGAATAGGAGGATATGAACTCTGCAATCTCATGTTAAATTAGAGTTCTTGCTCTTTTCGTGTGGGCAAGGATGGAAGAAGGTAACTACTGTTTCTCTCTTGTTCTTATTGTGGACGGAATACAGTGACTATCTGACTATTCTGACTGTAAATAGCCAACAGATTTGTGACTGAAGTAAGAACTTGAATAACAGAGTTTAATTGGGCTAGTCCTAGTTGTACAACTACAATATTATAATGATGATGGTTTTTGTACCTAAAACCCAGAGAGAAGATCTATGTCTCTTGTTAGAGGGAACAGAAAAAGGGGCCCCCATTGGCTAAAGAGCTCAGGTGGGAGGAATCTCTGCTTTTTTTTTCCTTCTTTTCTTTTGTCCTGAAGGTGTTTCAGTTGTGCATGACTATATAAGACCAAAGGGGTTACTAACCTGCAAGAAATTTTTTTTGAACAGAGTAACTGGGAATGTGGGCTCCTAGAAGCTGGAAAGTGTGAGGAAATCCTCGGAGAGAGTAAGCTGGAGAAGGTGGATCCCATAATTTTTTGTATGAACTCATTCAAGGGCCAGACTCACCCTTGAGCTGTGAATTATATGGAACGAACTCAAAGAAGTACAAAAAAGGCTTTTAAAATATAAGTACAATATACACTGCTGCCCAATTCTCAAACAAACTCCTGAATGGTTCATGTGCTAGGCAGACTCTAATAATTATAGAAAAGGATGAACAAACAAATCACAGAAGGTGAGACAGAATTTGCAGTCTGAACTCAATCATACTGATTGCTAAAACTAACTAACTAACTAACTAACTAACTAACTACCTACCTACCTACCTACCTACTAACTTTCTCCAGAGGATTTTAACAGGATTAAAATATACCTACCTACCTACCTACCTACCTACCTACTAACTTTCTCCAGAGGATTTTAACAGGATTAAAATATAATATTTTAATTACAATATAATATTCAAAATGTCTAGGATACATTCCAGTCTTACAATATAATATTCAAAATGTCCAGGATACAAAATCATAAAAAGAACTAGGAAAATCTCACCAATTTTCATGGGAAAATAAATTAATAGATGTCAACTCCAAGGTGCGCCAGATATTGTAATTGTCAGAAGAATAATTTTAAGCATCTATTCTAACTATCCTCTATGACATAAATGTCAACATTTTTGAAATAAATGTAAAGACAGAAGTTCTTAGCAGAGATAAAAACCATAAAAACAATCAAATGACAAAGAACTGAAGAAATAGCATATCTGCAATAAAAACTTCACCAGATAGGCTCAAAGGTAAAATTAAGACGAAAGAGGGAAAAAGTTAGGGAATGTGAAGATACATTGTAGAAACAATTTGAAAAATACAGAGAAATAAATTAAAAAAAAAAAAACACCAGAGCCTCAGGGACCTGTGAGACATTATCAAAAGATCTCAAATTCAAGTCATTCCACAAGTTCCTGAAGAGAAGAATGAGATTGGTGCAGAAAAAATATTTGAAAAACTAATGGCTAAAAATTTATCAAATTTGATTAAAGACATAAACTTACAGATTCAAGAGGCTCAGTGAACTCAAATGAATAATCTCAAAGAAAATCACACCCAGACACATCACAATCAAAAAGCTTCAAAGCAGCCAGAGAGAAATCATACATTACACATATGAGGATAGCAATCCGAATGACAGTAAATTTTTCTTCAGGAACCATGGATCCAGGACGCAGCAGAATAAGATTATTTTAAAATGCTGAAAGAAAAGAACTGTCAAGCTAGAATCCTGTACCTAGTGAAAATATCCTTTGGGAATAAAGGTGAGTTAAAGATATTTCTAGATGATGAAAAGCTAAGAGAAGTTTTTGTCAACAGATCTGCTCTACAAACTAGAACTCTCAAATAATAACACAAGAATGATTAATACTTCAGATTTACTATGAATCAGTTGTTCTGAGAGTTTTACATGAATTAACTCACTTGATCCAAGAAATTTGGTACAATTAACATCCTCATTATACAGATGAGAAACAAAAACAAAAAAGATATTAAGTGGGCCGGCCCGGTGGCGCACTGGAGAGTGCGCCGCTCAGGAGTGTGGCGGCGCTCCCGCCAAGGGTTCGGATCCCATGTGGAGACCGGTTCCCGCTCACTGGTTGAGCACGGTGTGGGTGCAACACCGAGGGTTGCGATCCCGTGGCCGGTCCCCGGTACGGGTGCGACACCGAGAGTTGCGATCCCGTTACCGGTCAGTAAAAGCGCTCCCGCCAAGGGTTCGGATCCCATGTGGAGACCGGTTCCCGCTCACTGGTTGAGCACGGTGTGGGTGCAACACCGAGGGTTGCGATCCCGTGGCCGGTCCCCGGTACGGGTGCGACACCGAGAGTTGCGATCCCGTTACCGGTCAGTAAAAAAGACAAAAAGGAAAAAAAAAAAGATATTAAGTACCTAGTAAGTGATTGAGGCAAAGTGAAATCCAAGCAGTCTGGTTTCAGAGGTGATGCTCTAACCATTACTTCATAATGCAAATATCTCCCAACCTACTGGAGGACATTAAATTACCCAAAAAGATGAAAACCATTTGAAACAGATGTAATGGTTTTAAAAAATTATTTTTATTTAATGCTGCTCTCTAGAGATAATAAGAAAGTAAGGCACCAACTTGATGTATTGCTTTACCTGGAAAAAATGCTATAAGAACTAGGATGACACACTGATTTATCATCAGCAACCATAACAATAAACATTTTTTGAGTACTTACTATGTGCCAGAATTTGTTTTGGGGGCTGAGGATATAAAAATGAATATGGTAAACCTTCTGTTCTTAAGAATTTTCTACAAATTAGGTAATACAGACAAAAATAATTAATTACAATATAGCATAAGATGAAAAATATAGAGAAAAAATATTAAAAATAGAAGCATGTACAAAAACTAAAGTGCATACAAAATACAAAGCTGGTAGAAAGGAAACACCAATCTAATCATGGCTGTTATAAAATCAATAACTTTTAAAAAAGGCTTTAAGAAGCATTAAAAAATGAACATTCTGGGAAATATTCCCTAGTTCCCTTTTTCATAACTAATGTAGATTACTATCTCTGTTCTAAAATTTGTAAATAAACTCTCATTTAAATCAGCAATGGACAGAAAGAAAAGCCAGAAAAAGGTGCTACCATGCTGTGTATATGGATTAATTTTCAAAGCCTTCAAGATAAAGATGATGGGCTTATTCCAAAGTACTGAGAATTAGCTCTGGCTAATTAGTTTTCTACTCACTCAGCAGTCCAGTGCTCCGTAATTATGGGGATACAGAAGTGAAAGGAGAAATTAATCAGAAAAACCTTTCACTAAGACAAAAAACAACGGCTCTATACTGGATCAAAAAAGTTAGAGTAAATTTAAAGTTACCTTAACAGTTACAAAGAATAATTTCCCCAGTTAAACTGAATCATAAGGTGAGGATCATACCTTATTTTTCTTTCTATCCTTAGAATCCCTAATGCTTAATATGGAGCCTGGCAAATAAGAGTATTATTGTTTAGTGAATTGAAATTTTATTACAAAAGAAGCTTAATTCTTTCTTGACTACTTTCCTTATATGCTAGATGGAGTTCTTTTATGTTCAAAAACCGCTACTTAATTCCACAGGAAAAAGGAGATCAAATGTGATCCCTGACCTCATGCGTAGGTAATAGAAGTAATGGTTAAGAAAAGAACAGTATAAAAGAATCAACTTCAGTTCTTCACAAACCAGCATGGACTTTTAAATTTCAAATCTCTAGCATGCTCCTATAATTCTTTATTTGCTTTTACTAAAGTTAAATCTTATTATATAATTCATGTAACAGCAAAGAGAATACAGTGATTAATGACCCATTCATATCCTCCTGTAACTTTCCTTCAAGTGGCTGCCATTAATGAGATACAAACAGTATAAATAACAAAGAATATTATGACTCATATTCCATACAATTAAATGTATATTTTTACTTTTACATTCATATTGCACACAGAATACATAAATGGTTATGAAACCCTGACATTATAAAGTTGCTGAGTACTTTTAGGTTGCTATTAATCAATGGTCATTAAATCAACAGATTCTAAGTTGACACTTTTATCTTTAACTTAAATAACATATATTGTCCTCATTTTGGGGATTTTAATAAAATAGTAACAAATAACTAAACCATCCAATTGAAGATGAACATCACTGTCTGTGTCAACAAAGGTATAGTTTTAAATATACTAATTTAATATAATAACATGTTATTAATTTAATATAATATCTTAAATATACCAACTTGCCAAGAGTTAAAAGATTATCAATATAAAATGAGCTTTTTTTCATGACCACACAACAACATGCCTATTTCCAAACTGGAATAAAAGTTCCTAACTTGTGAGATTAAGTTATTTTAATAAACTCTGCTATTTAGTTTTATTAAATTAGTATTTAGCTACAATTAATGAATATTAATTGATAATTACCAATAATCACAAAAAAGAATAACTTTACATCGTAATAAACTGGACTCTTCTCCCTTCCAGAATTGACAAGTTTTAGCAGTAATATAACATTCTCTACAAGTTTAACATAATAAACAACAACAAAAAAGAAACAAACAAAAATTGAGGAAACTGTGGCCAAGACCTAGTCAGACAGGACACTAAGACTCTGAAGTCTGGGAAAAAAAGGGGCAAATTTAAGTGTTACAACTAAAGTTTCTTAAGTTTATCAGTCCATTGTACTGATTGATATGAAATTATTTCTTTGCGACATGTTGGTGACTTTCTTACCTAGAGAGCATGCCCAGAGGTGTAACATTAAGTGATCCCATCAGCATTGCTAGGGCCATCCCTGGTGCTTCCCGTTCTATTACTTCTTTTGTGGCCTGTAATTAAAGATTAAATAGCAGACTGAGTGAAATTAGCCACAAAAAAAAAAAAAAAATGTAAAATTCATTTAAAAATAATTATATACCAGACTTTCTATAAACCGTGCATTGTAGTTCCCCAAATATTTTTCTTTTTAAAGGCATTCACACTCAGTTCTTTAGGACCACTGAATAAAAGCTGAGGCCCAAGAAAATCCAGAGAACTTTTATATCAGCAGTCCTTTCTTATTTTTTAAAGCTTATAAGTATTTAATTGAAATCTCACCTCGCCTAATAACCTAAATTCCAAAAATGAGTACTTGGATTGTTACAAGAGCTCAATAGATTTTCATGGAGTTAAGAAATCTGGGTACTTTTTTTTGCCTATTACTCCTGAAATAATTAATCCCTGAAAACCTGAGATCATCTTATAACCCTCCTAGAGCTATAATTTTATGATATGATTAAAAGGAACGCAGGAAGTCATCAAGTCAACTTTTCCTGTGTTAGGAAAACTCTACATTTACCATCTTCCATATCTTCAAAATAAGTTAACTGCTTTTTAAAAAAAAGGTAATAAAGAGACAGGCTTCAATTACGTAGTAGGAGTTTTAAGATAGGGCATTCTTTTATTTATTTATTTATTTGCTTTGCTTTTCCTTCTTTTTTAAAAAATTTTCTTTTGGAGATGGGGCATTCCTAAGACAAGTGTAGTTAAACTTGGAATAAGCTAACAAAGGAGACAGAAAAATTTCATTTTCTACCGGCCAATCAAAATAGATATATGTGGTACTATAATGGTCAAGATACAGTTTAGTCTATAAGTTGGGGATGACATACATGACTTAATCCATTTCCATTCCTTTTTTAAGATAAATGAAGCAAGTTACAATAATTGGGGCAATATGGGAATAAGGCTTGCAAAATAAAGTATTCTAGTAAATATGAGAAAAGTAAATTAAAAGAAAACAAAATAAAAAATTATGAAAAAATACAGAGAAAGGTTGATATTTCAATAATTCATGAGAAGTAGAGTGATAGTCCTAAATGAGACTGTAGTTCTGGACAAAATTTTTGCTCTGGGCAAAAAAGTTATGGACTTGGCAAAGCATTTAAAAATGCATCAAATATGTATTAGATGCTAATTGATGTTACAAATAAACTTTTAAGATGCATCTACATTAGTTAGTTATCCCATATAATCATACAGAGTTCAGGATTACCAGAATTGATGCAATCTACTGGTCCACTGAATCCTAGCGTAATGCAATATTTAAAAAAGGCAGAAATTTTAAAGGAAAACAAGAACATAGTGCTTCTCGATAAAGTGTGTTTTAAATATATGGGCCCATCAGGCAGCAGAAAAGGAAATTCTCAAATTCCTAAGTTTGGATGTGAGTTGCTACCATTTATGTACATGGCTAAAAAATGATGAGCTAACATTATCCAAACCCTATTCCTTATTTTCCAAAGTCAATCTATCTAGTATGATTTTAAGGTCTCCTGAGAAGAAATACAATTTCTACGTTATAAATTGCCTTTGAGGTTTACAATTTCTTCTTAGGGACCTTCAAATCTTAGAGCCCTAAAAATTAAGCAAGGGGATGTTATTAAGAACATAATAATTATTAAAAGAGCTCTTTGGATAGAGTTAATACCTATTTCATTACCTGCTTAAAAAAGTCATATAAGCAATGGCTGACATTTAATGAGTTTGGGGGTCCACATAAAGATGATGTACTCCAGAGTATAGCAGCACACTTTATTTAGCGACAAGAAAGGAGATAACAGATAACTAAGAAGGAGTATTTCATTTACAACTGATACTTCAAAGCACAGCATTTATCCATTTAAACAATAAATACTTATTAAGCATCTACTATGTACTAGGTAGTATTCCAGGCACTGATGTTGCAGTAGTGAATAAACAAATTTCTGAGAGTGTATAAACTCACTGTCACCCAGTACATGAAAAACTCAGTTGACAAATTACATATGAGAATTGCCTAAAACAGATGCAGTTCATTAATTCTTCTAGATCCTCTAAAATACACCATTGGATTTGACCAGATCACTGAAGAGTTGTCTACTTGGAATGCCTCATTTCACTTTTCATAGAATTATTTTATTGGGTTTTGCTTTTGTGGTAACAATTGGATAAACGGCTCAGTGAGATTCTTACTTAAATTAGTAAGTGTCTGAGACCTTTGTTCACCACATTGCACTGTGGTCCTCTTTAGAAGGACTTATACGAGAAATTTCCTCTGAAAATGTCATAACTAGGAATGGGCACTCTTCTGTTCTACCAGTTTGTTTTTAAATTATGATGCTTGTGAGTCAAGCTGCCCTTGAGAACAGCAACCAATATGTTTCATCTTAGTTTTCCTTACTCTATTTTTCACATTTATCTTTTAAAAAATTCTGTTGCGTGTCTGTATTTGGGTAAGCCACCTTAAATATTTTTCAGGCTATAGATAAATATATAAATGGATGGATGGACGGATGTATTCTTTACACAGAGCTCAACTTTCTCTCAATATAATTTAGAGAGGACAGTTAATTCTTTCTGAAGATCTAGAGAATTTGGGCCTACAAACACAAATCTCATATATTTTAGAAAAAAAGGAAAATATATATTGTGATGATGCCACTGATAGGTATTGGTGCTGACAGTGGCGACTTGATTGGGGGTGGGATATGTCAGACTCTACAGGACTAAACACAAACTGACTTTCTCAAGGGTATTCCTAAAAAACGCATAAATACAGGGCCGAGCCCGTGGCACACTCGGGAGAGTGCAGCGCTGGGAGCGCAGCAGCGGGTTTGGGTCCTATATAGGGATGACCAGTTCGCTCACAGCGCTCACTGGCTGAGCGCGGTGCGGCCGGTCTCAAAAAAAGGACAAAACAAACAAACACACAAATAAAAAAACCGCATAAATACACCTCTGTATCAAATACATCGTTTCCATAAAACATTAGAAGTCTTCTATGAGGGTAGTTCAAAAAGTTCATGGAAAGATTCACATAATCTTTCAATTCTATTTTCCCACAAACTTTTTGAAGTATTCTTGTATTTCCTTTTTATTTTTTCTTTCATGTAAGCTTTTTGGTGTAGCAGAAAGATCACCATCTGTAAAGTTGGACAATGCCACTACACAGTTAATGTCCATGAGAATAGGGGTTGGTTCTGTTGCAGCACCTAGCATAGTGCCCAATACATAGTACGTGCTCGAAAAATATTTGTTAAATAAAGAAACGAGTTAATAAATGAATTGATCTAGGTTTGAAACCTGGCTTTACTACCTAGTTGCTCTGTGAATGAGAAGAAAATATTTAACCTCTTTGTGCTGCAGTGTACTTATGAATAAAATGGAGATAATAATAATAACATACACCTACATCTTATGAGGCTATGAGAACTAAATGATATAAGTAAATCACTTAGCACAGAGTAGGTATTCAAAAGAAGTCAATTCTTTCTATGCTTCTATTTTTCAATTCTCCTTACATCTTTGATTTTGATCATATCAGTTACAGAACAATAACAATACAAAAATCCAGAAACCACCTAGAAATAGTAATTGAGAACCAAAGCTGAGGGAGAAGAGAATGGAGGGCAAGAACCCAAATATAAGAACACTGGCAAGGGCAAGGCAAGAAGCAGAATACTGAAACAGTGGGATCTAAATTAGGGGACAAGCAAACAAAAGAAGTGGGGATTGGAAGATGGACAAAGGGGCAGGAGCTGAGTACCAAGATCCATTAGCCATAAATGGTGAGGCACCACTAGAAGGCAAACAGTGAGAGAATAAAACTTAATTTAGAATAAATCAAGAGAAAGATACCTGTTTAAATTATTATAAAGCCCAAACAGAAGAATGGTTATAAGAATGTAGCTTTATTACTTTCAATCACATATACTAGCACAATATAGATAAAAAAAGGTTATATGTATCTATTAATGAGTAGATAAGTATTAGAATACATCAACAATGGCAAAAGGATACCATTAAAAATTGAAACCATTTTTCCCTAATTAGCTTAAAATTCTGTTTCCCACTTATACATTATTAATTTGATTATCGAATTCTTTTTTTACCTTGAGAGGGGGTAGAAATTTATATTCCTACTTCAGATATCACTTTTTCTGAACTAATAAAGTCAAAAATAAGGCTTAATTGGATTTAGCTATTCTATTTAAATAAGATGTTTATCTTTAACTTCTAAATATTTTCTTAACTATTAAAGTTGCCACCTCCTATCACACAATTGTGACCTTTTTCTTTTACCCTTGACATTTAGAAGACAACATTAAAGCCAGAAAGACTCTTCAAAGACTGGTAAGTTGCAAAGCTGGTATCATAAACAATGATTCTGTAGTCCAGGGATCTTGGTGACGAAATTCAGGCCCACGTTTTAACTTCACAGAAAAAACGACCTTAAAAAAGAGTTGTTACTAATAGGCAATGAGTTTTAAATACGTTTAGAACATACAATAGCTAAGTCTAAATACGCAAAAATTCCCTATATACAGGGTGACTCTTTGTGACAAATCATTTAATATAGTGCTTTTACTTTATAGACATACTTTTATTAACAGAGCAGATGAATTTGTATATTAATACTTACATGATTGTTATCTGACTAGGCAGATTTAATAAAATTTCCTCCTAACAATTACTGCAGTGCTCTTGCTGATTAAAAAATCTTAAATAACAAAGGCTATCTATGAGACACTAGTTAATGACTACTAGTAACTTTATTAAGCTATCAAGGTGAGATATAGTTAGAGCTGTAGTTCTCAAACTTTAGCATACATCAGAATATTTTAGAGGCCTTGATAAAACACAGTTTGCTGGGCCCCACTCCCAGAGATTCTGATTCAGAATGTTTGGGTGGAGCCTCAAAATGTGCATTTCTAACAAGTTTCCAGGTAATGCTTGTAGTGTTGGTCAGAGGACCATATTGAAAAGTACACTGCTGATGAAAGGAAGGAGGCAGATTGATGATAATGTG